AGTGAGTATATTCTGGCAAACTCACTCACAAATGTTGGTGTACATATTTCATCGCTTCCAAGCAACACCAACGTTATTGTACACTCATAGCGAATAGCGCAGTAGACGTTGTCAATTTGAGTTGGCCTTATGTCGGTAATTTGCAAGCAAGGAATACATTCAAGTCTCAAGGATTGGACCAACTTGTCAATTGCTGGATTATTAACAACCCCTGGTGTTGTTAACGACATAGTTTGGATTAAAAAAAAAAAAAAACTTTTCAAGTGCACATACATTCTCAACATTTGTGTTACATTGCAATCTTGATGCTTATTCGTTCGTCAAAGTCGTTGTTTAATTCGTTTACCGTAAATTTGTTGCGATGAATCTTATATACCTATCCAACGCCTCACATTCCAAGGATAAGAGTTGCTTTTATAGTCTAATACTCGTGAATTACAAGTTTATTCAAAGAGAGAGTTTGAATCTCTAAATTACGTGTATAAGAAATGGACGGTGTTAGCATTGTAAATTGACTTTATACCAACATGCCATACCTGCAGCTGAATCTAAATCATAACTATTTCTTGGGTAATTCTCCTGTAAGTAAAAGCTTACTGGGATATTTATTCTCTTTTTCGAGACGTGATAAAGATTTCGATGAATGGTAAGCCATGTATTGCTGTCAGAATTATCATCATCCGCCTCCTTACGAAGCTCGCCAATAATATTCTCCAGCATCTTTGCTTTTCTGGACGCTTGTCAGGATCAGCATCGCAACACCGCTCGGCAAGTTTCTTGTATTCATCTGGTGCATAATTGTCGTAGTCTGCCCATAATGTTGCATACTAATCTATCGAACTGCCTATTCTAAAAGGCAATCAAATACGTAATAATACCGAATGCATATGTGTCTGATTTTTGAGTAAATTTGGCAGTATGAAAGACTTCCGGTGCAATAAAGGGTAAGTGCCTCGAATGGTTGACTCGCGCGACCAAGATCGCATATGTATGGCGAACTCACTTGAAAATCTTTTTCTGTCACGTCAATAATCCGATGCGGAAGAAGTAACACTGTACACAAAGATGTCAATTATCCGACAAATAAATTGATATGCACTTTCTTGTTGTCTTTAGAATAAGGGTGTGATGTAAAATCACAAGCTGCAGATTTACTACATTGTCATAGCATTAATGCTTATCTATAACATTATTCATTTACAGCATTATAAATTTATATGGTTAATATTACTCGCTTTATTTATTTTATTATTTGCAATACTTGTATAAAAGAACAGTGTTGTAAATAAATTTATTGATTGGCGTGTGATTTTTTTATTACACATTTGCGAAAGAAAAAATTCATGGTTTTTTCTTGAAAATTGAATACTGTAATTACAGCATATTAATAGAATTCGGGAAAGCCGATCTGGGGCTTTGTCCGTTGTCCGTAGGGATTCTGCCAAAAACAGCCGGCTAATATGGAATGGGTTTAGTTCGTGCCTGATCAGAAGTTAATGTTGACATTGTTATTAATAAGCCAAACGCTAAATTATCATATAAATTTAACTCGCTCGTTATTCAGAAAGATCAAAATAAATTTTTACGATTTTTATTATTCACATATTATAGTCTTTTCAGAATAAACACCATTTACAAATTAACTTTTTCACGTCCAAGGGTTATTTAACGGCCAAGATAAAAGTTGTAATGATTTGTATTGTGAAAAAGCGACACTGTGTGCAATGTAATAGTCGCGCAACTACGAAGGATAGCATCGTCTACAGAAAACGTCTAACCACAACCATGCTGCGGAAGCAAGCCGGATAATTGTTTTAAATATCACTGCTGTGAGACATGCAATATAAACGATTGTAACAATAACCTTATGATTACTATCAACGTTTACTTTCTTATCAGTACCTACTGTTATGTTACAAATTGAGATGATCAAACAACAAGAGCAAGGGAAACTGATGAATTACCTGCGCAAATTATTCAGGCTGTAACAACAAGTGGTTTTTCCGAAATGCATTCTCCATTTAGTGACATACTTTGCCAATCAATCAAGCGTCTTCGAAACTCTGATTGTCTTGCAAAGCCGACAACTCTGGAGAATCTTATTATTTTAGCGGATTTTTCAGTTAGAGATTCTACCGTAGGCAAAGACAGGTTATTGCTTTTCACAACTATCAACAACATTTGACACCTGCAACAAAAACCACTTTCTGATTATGTTCAAAGTATATTTCATCAGTTACACCATCCATGGATGCATTAGAAGAAATAAACGCACAATTAATAACTTTTGTTTATGCATTAATGTCTCGTAAATCGGAAGAATGTTACAGAAGACTGTTTCAAGACTTGACCGATTTTGGTGACAACATAACATTTATCTCTAGCCATAGTTTATTTTTAACAAATTTCGAACAAGCTGCCATCAACGCAGCTCATGCAAACTTTTGCCATTTTCATTTAGCTCAAAGTATCTATAGAAAGGTACAAGCGCTGGTTGAGTATCCGATATGGCACACAGACAAAAACTTGGTTTATTAATTCCTAACTGTCGGTGAAATAACACGACCCGAAAATTTTCTATTGTCTACACGTATTGATGAGTCACATTAATTTTTGTATTGTTTTGAAACTAATTGACTTCGAAAATTTAAACAGAGTACTGTAACAAAGATGTAGTTCGATAAAGTGGCGGGTCTAACAAGGCAACAGCCCAGTATTGCTCAGTTATTCCTTTAGCTATGGACCAATCGGTTAAAAGAGAGAGAGAGAGATGGTGCTGACCTACACTCAATTGAAAATTTATCCCCAGCCAAATAAATATAACATATTTGTCTATATACTGAAAAAACTACCACCTGTTAAAAGACTAATAATTACTGAAACAATTAAGACTATTTTGTTTCCATATGTTTTACTAATTCGGCAAATAAATCAGACGATATCCCATCTACGGCACCGTAAATAATTCATCACAACAGATTAAGATGTAAGGATAATCCCTCTTTATAGTTACATCACGTGACCAATTAAAAAGTAATCGGTTGATAAGGAAATTATTACAGTTCTCTAGTAAAAAAGTCTTTGTCACAAGGTACCAATACTTGAGCTATTGATGAAAAAGACACGCTTAATTCTTTGTTACTGGTCACCACAAGCTTGTCTCAACATTCATTGCTTTCGGCGTACAATGCAATTTATATAATCACTAGAGTTTTAACTGAATAATCTCAAGACAAGCTATATGAACATTACTCGTGTGTTCCAATCTTTTACGTTGATGTCTTAACAAAACATTGCCAGATGCTTGACAATAACTGGACGTTTCAACATAACATTAACCTCAACATACTATACACACCATATTGGGAGTGGTGTTTATTATTATTCTCCGACAACTATTTTCCCACCGTCATTTTTTATTGCACTTATTAATAAGTATGGCTTTGATGTTTGACGTCCACAACCAATAATCAATCTTCGCATACGATGAATAGATAACTTTTTTTTAGGAAAACAAATGCTATTCTTGATATCTCAAAACGTGTATCGTATTAGTATCGGGTGATCACATAAAATTGCCAATGTCTGTAATAGTAATGCAATACATCGTGAGTTTACGCATCACATAGAATTATGTTATTGATATCCAGCAATATAGTACATTGCTTGATTATTGTTATACAAGTATCTAAAATAAACACCGCAGTTACGTTTCTTCTTGAAATGAAGACATTATGTTGTAAAACTACTATGATGGGATTATTATTGTGTTGACACCAAACCAAATTTGCATCGTAACCAATAATATACTAATATGGTACTAATACCCACACCAATCATTTAAAATTCAACGCTTACCCTTTCGTATGCTTTGTTTTTCACATTGTACAAATTAATGTAATTTTTTCCCCAAAACCAAAAGATGTGCATCATTATATAACTTTTCTGAACGATAATTACGCATGCCTATCATTATCCAAGATTCGGAAAAAACCCCCCCACAACAAACCACACAAACCACAACAAAACAAAACAAAACGATACAGTGTGTATAGTAGAGACATATATCAACGTACTTATGCTCCTATGTTATAAATACTATGTTTAAATACTTCGCTTGACAATAATTTTAACAAGAATAATACTATTTGCAAAATCGTTTCTCTTATCATTGTCAAGACAAAATTAATGTCAATACATTTCTACATAATAATATGAACCGGGAAATGAACCGGGCCCATTGAGAGAAATGGTGAACGATAGAGTTAACCAAGGATAGCCGCAGCACGCGAACTCGATATCATTCTTGTTTGTGATTAATTGTTGTCGCTGGTCTGACAAGATATAATTAACTAACTGATTAGATTATCTGACGATGTGCTTCATAATTCGATTATCTCATACAAAGATGATACCCACAGGCGGGAAATTAAAGGATGTATCTAAACTCCTGAATTCTGAGTAACCAAACGACTTTGTATGAAGCCGGTTTTCTTTTTCACTTCCCTAAATACACACGCTTTGTTGTGTAGATGGCCTGATACTAACAAGCGAAGGATGAGAAGATGTAGATTTGCAGATTCAAAATGTCGACAGATTTATAATTGTGCGAGTCGAGACTTTTAATAACCAGCTAACCTAACGTTCTGATATCTCTCTGTAAACACGGAGGGAATAACATAGTTACACCAATGTCAACATACGATACTGTACCACTACTCAATATACCATATAAATAAACATCATAATCAATTCACTTTGACGCCACCAAATACTTATGATGATGAAGCTTCTTCTCTTAACAACGTTGTTCTTAGCAACAGTCACGGCACTGCAAATTTATCCCAAGGATAAAGATGACGACACTTCTCTTGCACCATTGATCTCGTCCCCAGACGCAGAAACAATCCCTGATAAATATATCGTAGTGTTCAAAACCGACGTTGCTGCGGATAAAATATCTTGCCATCACAATCACATTAATGATTTGCTGTTCGATGAAAGGAAGAAATTCAAAAGAGGCTTCATGAACGAATTAATTTCTGGAATTGAACACGTATACAACCTTGATGGCTTTCAAGGATACTCTGGTAGATTCTCAGCAGATGTGCTAAATAATATTAGACAAAGCGATGACGTAAGTACTATAACAATCCTTTACAAGCAGATGACACTGATCATTCTAATAACATCCAATTTTATTTCTCGCCCTCATCTCTTGCTCAGATTGCTTATGTTGAGAAAGACCATAAAGTCTACACGAACATAGTACAGAATAATGCTCCGTGGGGGTTGGCTCGCATATCGCATCGTGAACGTCTACAATGGAATACATTTGACAAATACTTGTTCAACCCAGCTGGCGATGATACCACTGCGTACGTTATCGATACCGGAGTCTACATTAACCACACTGACTTTGGCGGTCGTGCTCGATGGGGTGTCACTATACCATATGGTGAGCCCAATATCGACAATGTTGGACATGGAACTCATGTTGCTGGGACTATTGCTGGAAGCAGGTTTGGAGTTGCCAAGAATGCAAGAATTGTCGCCGTCAAAGTCTTGGGACAGAATGGAGGTACCGTATCCGACGTAATCAAAGGCATAGAATGGACCGTCCGCGATCACAAAAGAGAGGCGAAGAGAGTAGGGCGGCGATATAAAGGTTCAGTTGCGAACATGAGTTTGGGAGGAGCTAAAAGCTATGCTCTAGAAATGGCTGCTAATGCGGTGAGAAAAAAATTTTTAACGTTATGCGGGATTTCGATCGCTCTTCATGTTTAGATGTCTGGAATACGATAATTACGTTTGTTTTGTTTCTTTCGTGCAAACATCTAATTTACGTGTGTTTCGATAAACCCCATTCTCTCTATTAGGCAGTCGATAACGGAATAGTTCTGGTTGTAGCAGCTGGCAATAGCAATGCCGATGCTTGCACTCAATCACCTTCCGGTGCTACAAAAGCAATTTCAGTTGCTGCTTCAACCATACGTGATGAACGCGCTGGATTCTCAAACTATGGTAGATGTGTCGCACTTTTTGGCCCCGTAAGTAAAGAAAAGGTAACAGGTTGCTATTTGTCTATTCATATATGCTTACATTCGACGTATTTAATAAACATAGGGCCAAGATATTTTGTCGGCGTGGATTGGCTATCCCTCGGCCACAAACCGAATTTCCGGCACTTCTATGGCGTCTCCTCACGTCGCTGGACTTGCAGCCTATTTCCTCTCCTTAAGTCCAAGTCAATTGAATCCTGTGGCCTTGCGTAATAAATTGCTTGCTCTCGCCACAAGAAACGCTCTTAGTGACGTGATGGGTAGTCCTAATCTCCTAGCTTACAATGGCTACGCATAGTGAATAGATGGGGTAGGGTAATTGTCACTTTACAAGAGAAGCGGTTCCATACGTAACGAGTTGTTGTAAAATAAAGTAATTGTAAAAATCATATCAGGAGACAGGCTTATATCTCATCCAATGTTATAATCAAAACGGAGTAATAATCAGATTGGCTGTAGAGGTAGCTTACCTATATTACCTTGCCTTTGAACAAGTACTCTTTCAAGCAAGATTTAGTAGTATGTTTCTGACTTCGAGACCTGAGGTCGTGTGAATTTCTTCGGATTGGATTCGTGGACTTGGAACCTTGGCCTAGCCAAAGCAGTTATCTAAGTTTGGTACATCGAGGGGCGTGAACGCATGTTGATCAAAACGGTACCTGCAGATTGTTAGCATGTATTGCGTTTATTGTTAGCCTATAACTTAAAACGTGTTAAGTCGTCAGGTTTATCTACCGTATTTCCCATTGAGTCATATTCCTCGGATGCATTTGTATGTCCTTAATTTTCGTCTTTACATGCCGCATTCCCAGACTCGGGTTCACATGATATTAATGTATTTCTGACACACACACATCAAGAAATAATTACTTCAAGAAAGTCAGCAAGGAAAGCCTTTTTAATGGTTATGTCAACGACAGTTACATAAATTAGAGTTTATTATATTTTGTACTAACAAGAATCTAAGCAAACTCGACTCGTAGCTTGACTGGTTAAAAGTATATTTCCTATAATATGTAATAATCTACCTTTTATTGTTATTCTTTATTAATACTCGAACATTTAAAAATTAGATCTAGATTCGTTATCTACCGTATTTCTCTGACTAAAGTACCCCGCAAGCAAAATACCCCTCAGCAGTTTTGAGGCCTGATTTTGTAAAAGACCCGGGTACTATTCTCGAAGAAATAAATATAATCAAGTAAAATACCCGGGGTACTTGAGTCAGAGAAATACGGTACACCACTGTATGCAGCTTAACTCAAAAAGGAAAGTACAATGAGCGTTGATTATCAGCTAAGATGAGCGTAAGAATAAACAGATAATTTATTTTAGCGCAGTAACCACGACATTCATACTGTTCAAACATTGTATGATCAATTAATTACAAAGCGTAGACTTTAGACTTGCACATACATATGTAGTTAAGCAACTCTTAGTCGATAATAGATACAAACTTTACCTCTGATTCATATTAATGTTGACACGCACGGATAATCTGTATATTCAACCGGTGTCATATGATGTGATGACAATCGCATTACGTTTCACAATTAATAAAGTTGCGAATCATATCAATATCAAGGCATACTTTTAAGCTTACATGCACGGGTTCGTTAAAAATGGAAATGCATGTGTAAATTCGGAAATAGTCAACAGAAAAAATCATTGTAGTTATCGTTCCGGATAACTGCAAGTTTCACATATTGTCATGATGTACTTGATATTTGCCTATGGACTACTTCTGAGCTGATATCGTTATTACAGTACGTTTGACTTCAATACTTAATACACGTTTATAGCTGAGAATTCCGAGCTAAGTTTGCCATAATGCGCTTTCTACCAGCATAGATTTCAATACATGCAAGTATTAACTTGCGCTACAACGTTGTAAAACGATAGCTTAATGTCGGCTTTATAAACAGTTTGTATTACACTCGACTCATATATAATACTTAAGGAGTTTTCAAACTGCCGATATCGCAATTCATCACGAATAGCTATGATCAAGATTCTTTTCCTGATAACGCTGTTCGTAACAGCAGCCGTAGCAGTACCATTTTTTTCGGAAAACAATGATGATACTCTTGCGCCTTTGATATCGTCTCCAGGTGCAGAAGTTGTTCCTGACCAATACATTGTGGTATTCAAAGACGAAATTGCCGAGGAAAGAGTATCTTGCCATCACCACGACATTGGTGGCATAGTGTTTGAGGAAAGAAAGAAATTGAAGCGACGAGGATTTATGGCTGACTTTATTTCTGGAATTAAGCACACTTACAATATCGGGAGTTTTAAAGGATATGCCGGCAAATTCTCCCATGAAGTTTTACACAAGATCAGACAAAGCGAAGATGTAAGTAGATAAAACGTCGATCTCGTTATCGTAAAATCTTTTGTACTACAAATTTCGATTTTCCCAGGTTGCATACGTCGAAAAAGACCAAGTAGTTCGTGTGGGCGCAACTGAACCTGATGCACCATGGGGTTTGGCTCGCATCTCTCATCGTGGACGCGACGGGCCGAACATATACGAGTATGATTCAACTGCCGGCGAGGGTGTCACTGTATATGTAATTGACACTGGAATCTACATCAACCATACCGACTTTGGTGGTCGTGCCGAATGGGGTGTTACTATACCGGCAAATACACCCGATACCGATGACAATGGACATGGAACACATGTTTCTGGCACTATCGCTGGAACTCGGTACGGCGTCGCTAAAAATGCTAGACTTGTTGCTATCAGGGTTTTCGACGCGAACGGGGTTGGATTCAACAGCGATGTAATCAAAGGGATAGACTGGGCTGTGACAGCACACAATAGCCGATCTGCGGAAGCCAGAAGAACAGGAGAAGTATTCAAAGGATCAGTTATTAATATGAGTTTGAGAAGTGATGCAGATACTGCTGTCGACGCTGCTACTAATGCGGTAAGTATTGCAAAGGTTATGTAAAGTCTTTGTGCATCTCAACAATTCAACAAATATGCTTCACATACATTTGATATCCGATTCCGTTTCGATAACATTCATTAATTTAGGCCGTCGACAAAGGAGTTGTTGTAGCTGTAGCTGCAGGCAACGATGATGACGACGCTTGTACCAAATCACCTGCTCGCGCTGCAAATGCAATCACCGTTGGTGCTACTGGCGCTGACGATACGAGAGCTTATTTCTCAAATTGGGGTCAATGCCTCACGATTTTTGCTCCTGTAAGATTTACCAAAATCCTCTTGAGATGATGCTCTAATCCAATTTACAAACACATGATTACTCATTCACTCCACTCGCAATATAGGGCGTAAACGTCTTGTCAGCTTATATTGGCAGTCCCGATGCCACGAGAATACTCCAGGGCACTTCTATGGCATCTCCTCATGTAGCTGGGCTTTCAGCTTATATACTCGGTTTAACTTCGTCACCGTTAACTCCAACGCAAGTAAAAGACAGAATCCTCTTTTGGGGCACACGAGGTATTCTCAACGACGTCGGAACAGATAGTCCAAATCTTTTGGCATTCAATGGTTACAACCTAGGTATACCAATTTGAGGCTAGCATTTATAAGGCTAAGAAAACTAGTACATTTATCCGTTTTCTCCACAAATATTGTTATCTGTCTTGAATAGTTTTTTTTAATCGCGGCGTTTTTTAAACGTCCTACTCACATGTAAAGATTCAAGATAATAAACCAAACTTACAAGCAGAATCGTTGAGAATTCAAGTGTTGCGGTGAAGAGTGCTCGAGACTTTAAAGAATAAAAGTTGGGTTATACGTCAATTAGGAAACTGGATATGTGTAAAAGTGTTCTGGTAAAAACCCTAGAACTCAAATTATACTGCCTCCATAACATTGAAAGTGCGTTTTTTCATGTTCCAGACGAATTGATTTCTCTATGAGAAGCTTTTAAATATATAGAAATTTCAATCCATGTTGGAAAGGAACCAAATAGCAAGATATTTCTTGCTCGCACATTAGTATTATTATTATGCTAAAGCGCGCATTTCTTGAGAACAACCTGACTTCATATATTTGCGAGATTTTACTTCAACAATTTATAACATTAAAAGGCCATAATAATACAATAAATAATTGCATGTGCTAGAGCATTGTATATTTCTTCAAGATATTAATCGAGAAATTACAAATATAGAAGACATAGTAATAGTAATAGATAGTAGCGAGAAAAGTCCTTAGCATAAGCGATGACTAGCTTGGAGCTGTACATCTCCTACAGGACAATGCAGAGACTTGTTGCAGAATATTAAAAACTTGTCGAAGTCAGAAAAAAAGCTTAATATATATCAAACTAATCTTGACAGCAGTTTTAAGGCCTGATTCTGTAAAAGACCCAGATACTATTTTTGAAGAAATAAATGTCATTGAGTAAAATACTCAGGGTATTATAAACAATGATCTTATGCAAAGTACCCTATTTTAATATTAATATATAAAAGGTACTTGAGTAAAATATGTAGTTTACCATATGTTCTCACGTACAAACATTTTTACTTAGTGTCGTGCCATCAAGTGCGGGTGAGCAAACAATCATCGGCACTAGGAATTTAGCCCCAAATACCACCTCTCCATATCATCCCGATAATCTTGCGGAATCACCTCCCAAATCTCTTTCACTACCTTTCAAGCTTGAAGGCTGAGGATTATGGTTTCGAATTTCTGCCTCAGCTGCAGCCCACTAAGGTTGAGATCGGGACTTTGAGCAAGAAAACTCTCGTGCAACCTTGATGTGTATTGTCTTGAAAATTTCTGGTTTGCTGTTACATTTCCAGTTACTGAACCTGTAAGGGAAACAATGGGACCTAATTTTAAAAAAGAAAAGCATGCCCAAAACATTCTTTGTGAAGAATGTTTTACGGTTTACAAATATAATTGTATTTAATGAGTAAAAGGCTTGACACTGTCATCATCAAAAATATCGTCAAACTCGAATGTGTTGTCTCTAATAATAATAGCAACATTTTTTGATGACAAATGGAATTCATAAACTTACCATGACTGATTTAATGACACCGATACATGTCTTCAGCTTTCCAATACTCTTAAGTTTCGTTGGCAATTCAAACTTAGGTCCGGGAAAAACGGTATAAAAGCCTTCCACCAAATTTTCAATCAACAATTGCCCGTTTGAGATTTTAGCCCTTTTCCCGGGGAGATCGATTTTCATTGTCATGCCACCCTTACATGGATAACGTTCAATAGCTGGTCTAACTTCGCGTTCGTACTTGCTTGCTTCTTCATTGGACCTGGAAAATTGACGATCGTCTCTCTGTGTACAGCTGTAAAAAAAGGCACTCGGATGTTCTTGACTTGTTCATCATCGAGGTTATACTCCAGTAAACTATTTAATATTGATTGGTTTATTCGAGCAGAACGGCATCGGTCACCAATTGTTTTTGTTGCCGTAGCCTTTGCGGAAAACTCCCATTCTCCGACGTCAACTCCTGATATTGTTGGGAAGCGAACATCACATTTGTGCCATTAGACAAGACATTAGAGATCATAGTGAACGCCAGTTGAATATTTCCAGTCGTAAGTTTATTAGTTGTTTTTCATCGTATTTATTCGATCGTATAGGTATTATTCCACCGTAAGAGTTATTCCATTATTCCGTTGGAGCCTTCGACCAAATCTTAAGTGGAAAAGGTACAGAAACTATTCGAACTTTGGTTGTTTATATATCTAAATTGCTACTGCGGTATAGCTATTCTAAAATATAAATGGTCCATAGCTATTGCTAAATATTGATTCACGTTACTAAATTTACGTCAGATATTTACTGAATATAGTACCCCCTTAAATAGTACCCCCTAAATTAGGAACAAATATCATATGTCACATGATGCAAATAGATTATGGTAGTCGTAGAATACAACAGTATGGATTTTACCTCAGTACAAAAACCACTCATCGATGTACTTATCAATGTACAAACTTGATAAATCATGCTGTCTCGCAATCAGCCAATGAGATGTCAACAGCTTAGATTTTATTTACGGTACATGATCATCTGACGTACTAATAATATTAATATTAATCGTAAATCGCTATTTAAATGCTATTATTATTATTATTATTATTATTATTATTATTATTATTATTATTATTATTATTAAATTTGTCGTAAACAATATGTATAAAATAAGAAAAATTTAACCATACATTCTCAACTTTCGAAATAAATAAGTTTTCTTCGCCTATCAGTTTGGGAACTTGTAATATAGACTCATAATTTTTCTTCATAAACTTTTTATCATTATCGCAAAACCATTTCTTCATATGTGCGGATAAATCGACTATCCTTGATGCAACGTTTACGTTGTGTTAGATCGAGGAAATTCTACTGTGTTCCAAGACAAACGGATGAAATTATCCAAGCTGGCGATGCGCCATAGCCGTTCCGTTCTGATTTGAAAACAGCCAATCAGAGAATGCGCAAATTGAGGACAAATTTCCGTGTTTCGTTCCGTGTTTTCAATCTGCTGTATGTCGCTTATGAGTTTTCAGAGGAAGAAGACTTCAAATCACCCTTTTTCAGTTTTCCTCTCTCTGCAATTAACAGACATACTTGACATCGTGGTACAACACGTGAGTTTTGGAGATGGAACAAAGCGGAACAAATGGACCTTGCTTTTTTTTTGGTCCGATCGCATTTGTTCCCATCACATGATTTGCGGCCACCAATCGGGCTTCTCAATGGCTGTTAATCTCTTCTTATTTTTGATTTTACGTGCGTTTTCAGATATTTTTCTCAGCATAAATGTCGTTAACTTTCTGACCCGAAGGCAAAGCTTAAACTTTTGAACGACTTTTCCGGAGGCAAATCATCTTCATCTTTGTCGTTATAATCATTAGGATACCCTCTGCCTCGATGTTGTTACAGCACAAGCAATGGTTCTAGGCAAAAATTGATCCGCTTCATTCAGATCATCAGTTTTATCCATTCGTAGATAATCTAGAGGAGCTGGCTTCGTAATTTTGGTACCGTCTGGTGGTGGACATGATTTGCTATCCGTATCAAAGTGGCTCAAGCCACAAGGAGAACAGCTGCTCCTCTTCCTCTTGTGTGTCAGATTCTGGGAACAGATCTCTTGCCCAGTGCATTGGTCTGCCAGGTCTCTCTGCTGCATAACGTCAAGACTTTTGCAAATTGTAATTTTCTCTTAGAGACCGCCTTCCATGTCATTGGTTTGTTTTATTAAACTCAAATCGTGTGCCTGTTTCTCTAGAGGATATTCTCCTGTCTCCGCGAATAGGCTTGCTAAATGGGCATCATGGTTCTGTTTCTGCCATTTGATGATATTGAAATGGTTCTTCTGAGCTTTCGTTCAGAAATCCTATAAGGCTATATGCAGCAGACTTTCGTCTGAGATATTTGCTAAACATGTTATAAACATTACGCGTAATAAGCCTTGGCAAGTGTTCAACTTCTGCCGTAATGAAGTCTTCATTTTCCCATGACTGTCTATAGTGCTTGGAGAAGGCTGCCTTGCCAGGAATAGGCTCTGTGTGCGATGCTTGGTTAATGTGGACTGCCCAAGCTGTGTAAGTTCGCGTTATCATTCAAAAGAGTGCTATTGTTTATAAACCACTGAATAGTCACGTGTAATATGAAGTATTACGCAATCGATAATTTAGGATAATTCTATGCTGCGCATATCGATATGGTAAACCTTTTGCTTATCGAGCAACTTGTAAGTTTCAAACGCCATTTCGTTAAATGAAAATTTTGGAGCTGATTCGGTTCTTCTGTCGTATAATCGTTTTAGATCGTTCCACAACTTTTCGATTCTGACGAGTAAGGGCTCAAGCCGATCATTACAAAGTATGCCATCTAGCCACAGGCCGAGAGCGAAGCCAATAAATACTCCAAAAAAGAATTCGCTTGTGAATTTAAGCATTTTTCGTAGTGTTATTGTGGAAATTGACAGATTGTTTTATTGGTTTAAAAGATGTACTGTTTCAACGGTATTTATTGCGTTGTGATTGATTTGATCAATAGACAAACGCGAATTTCTGCGCATTGATTATCATTGGTCACATTCTGCATACAGGGGAACAATAGTTACATTATAAAAAGGTCTAGAACGTTCTCAATAATATGTCATTGATTAAGCCACTGATCAGCGTTAGTATTAGTATATTATACAGTTCCGAAAATAAGCACCCCCATAGTTAAAAGGGGTGCTTATTTTCGGAACTGTACGGTATATCTTGTCCTGCTCCCTCTAATTGTCTTTTTTGCAAAGTCTTAACTACTAACTTCTTTGGAAACCTCTTTATTTTACGAGTACCTAAACAACTTTCAAGGCGTTTTTTAATAGAGTAGCGACACTCACAATAACGATAACTCTACGGACTTACTTCACTATCTTTGGCATTGATTGTATATGATGTAACTAGATAATCCCGCCCGATTACATCGGCCGGCCTTTTCAAATTACAAGTTGCTTTTCAATTTAATAACAGTTCAAGATTAGATTATATTATGAAATAAAAAAAGCTGTAAATTATTGTATTTAAGCGAAAGTTT